AATGACAAAGGTACATGATATAATTATCTTCAGCATCTAAAAACCTGAAATAGAATAATCACAAGGGTACAGAAGTACATGTGTATGTATGTTAGTATTCTTGCAATCCTAAAGTGAATCTTCTTATAAAATGAATGCTTTTTTGGTACACCCAAAAACGTGTTGACTATAGGCACAGTGTAACTTTTAGTAATTTCTTAAAAACTGCATAAAACAAATCAGTGAGGGCAAGAATGAATAAAATAATATAGCCTTTTCATTCAGAGATATAACTGCATGCAAGTCTTATTTCTTCCATATGTGGATGGTAAGCTCTATTAAAAATCATAGCAATTATTTTATATGATTTCAGTAAAGAGAAAACATAAAGGTCATCCTTATTAGATAAGTTCCATTTTAATATCTGAATTCTAATAAATGGATTGCATTATTTCCTTTTCTAGAAACAGTAACTCAAGAACACATGGATCCTGGGAACTGCAGGTATGGTATTGCTAGGGGATCAGATAGAAGTATTTAGTTAAAATATGAAGTTGCTGTTCATTCATTATAATGACCGTGCTTTGACTTTGTTTAAGATAGAAAACACTCGTCCTCAGGAGAATGTGCAGGTCACACTATACTTTGAGAAACTTACCAGACCCTGTGAAAATTCATTTGAATGATTATCACAGGAAAGGGAAGTCCTGTGACTGTCATAAGAATTGCAGCCAATATCTAGAAGTGCAGGTCTGTGTGAGCTAGCTAACATGCAAGTTGACCAATGCTGCAACTGTTGTTGCACCCTAGAGACGGCCTTTCTGACCACACTGCTGGAGAACTGGTAGAAAGAAGGCCTCAGGAGACTGTTTTAGAAAAATTGTTTATATTCGAGATACAAAAATCAGGAAGAATGAAAAATTTAATAGATAGTGTCTAGAATTTGACTAAGTGACATATTTCATTGATTTTGAGATGCACATTTTTCCACTTCTGAAATTGGAAATGTCTTAATTATCAATTGTGTGCCATAGTGTGATTGACAACCTTTTTTCCTTTCATAATGAAACATAAAATAAAGATGCTTCTTTCAATCAGCTGCATCTTAGATTCAATAAAATATGGTAACTTAGTCTACACATGTACATTGACTGCTTACTCTTACTCTAAGACAAGAGCCCGAAGACATAACATTAGAAATATTTTATACTGTATTTTTATAGTTATACCAAAATTTATTGGTAATTTTGTAAAGATCTTTTAAGATTATAGAGCAACAGTGATAAGGAAAAAAATTAAGTTGTTAATAAGTTTAAATAAATGTCTGGCTTTGGAGGGTGGACATTTTGCCTTTGTAAATACAGAAACGTAATGGCCACTCCAAAAATACGACATGTAAGCAATTTTCAGAACAGACTGTGATAGGAAGAATAGTCATTTCAAGAAATTAAAAATTAGGAACCTACTATGCTTGTAGTTGAAAATCCAAGGAAAAATTTTTATCAGCTCTTGAGGTGAATGCTATATATCAGAAAGGTATATCTAAGTCAAGAACTCAGCACCTTAAAAAAAAGACATTATAAATGGTATGCAGTTGTTAAAACATCACTTAATTACCTCTTCATTATGTCCCTAACATTCTGAATTAAACTATAAATAGTGAAATATTAATTTCACTGAGCATAACAAGTGTTTCATACTTGGACACCTCTCCACTGAAAAATTAAAAAATATTTTTTGAATCTGTAATTTTATTAAATTTAGATAAGACATTTCCAGTCTTATCTTCCCAGGCAAGACTTACTGAGTGAGAATTGAACCCAGTATCTGTCTGTGAGCCAAAGGGCATATTTAAAAAAGAAAGCAGATACTCTCTTTAGAAGTGAAAAACCTAAGTGAGGAGAGTTGAGGATTAATTACCAGCAGATAGATTTGTTCATTCCCAAACTCATTTACTGCACACATTGTTCCATTTTCACAGATTGGAATTAAATTGTGTCCTACAAGTTATCTGGCCATATTACTCAAGTAATGCTTGAATTCCCCCCAAGACATTCCTGTCAGGTGGTTACACGCTAAACAGTGTAAAAGTAGGGAGACCCCTGCCTCCTGCCTGAGTCCATTGCATCTTTGGTTAATCCTCAAAATGGACTAAATTTAATTGCCACTAATTTTCGCCTCTTAGTCTTTAAGTTTTTCAGTGGGCCACGTAGAGAAGTTGAATCCTTCACATGGGAGCTGCCGTGTACCCTTCTGCCCTCCAAATTTTCTATTCAAATTAAAGAAGCCCAGTTTCTCCATTCTGCATTTAAGGTCAGGTAGCCAGTTCCAGCAAACAGCTTTGGTTTCAGTGAG